AGCAGGGGGGTCAAGACCCCAAGGAGGAGATTTGGGGCCAGGCCTGGCTGCAGCCACCTGAGTCCCAAAGCTGTGGTAACCCCAGAGCAGGGGGCAGCGAGGAGCCCTGAGGCAAAGGGGACAGCGAAGAGTCCTGAGCACCAGAGAGGGTGCAGAGAGCAAGACTGACCAAACAATGTCCGGTACATCTGCGAGGCTTGGGGCATGGTAAAGGGGTGGTTGGAGCCACGCATAGCCCATAAGGCTGGGGTGCCCAGGAACACCCATTAGCAGAGCTGGGCTAACGTACAGGAGGATAACCATATCCAGGAGAACAGAAGAGGCAGTCTCCCTAATTACGTAATTGACATCAAAGACGTGGCAGGTGAGATTGAGGGGGCATCGTAGACCGACTGGGCATGGTAAGGGGTGCTAGGGAAGGGCTCGGCGACCCCTAGGGAGTTACTCCCGTTACAGAGACCACCAGGAGAAACCAGAGCCAGCACCCTTTAGAGGCTGCCATTAACCAAGGGTGAGGAAAAGAGCATGGGTGATGTCAGGCTGTGGCCTCAAACCTGGGTCCTCAGTCTGGTTAAGCATATCCTTTCATAGGTTGGTCAAGGCTGAACTGAAGCCTCCAACAGGGCCTAGCTCTCTGCCTACTCCCTGTAACTGCAGGGACTGGCTGGGGTCAGCTTCCCACATATAAACCAGAACAGGCCCAGAACAGGAAGTGTCTGAATACTAAGGGAATCTGTCCCACAACTGCTCCTTCTGGTTATTCCATGGCTTCACCTTCTTTTTGATCTCTTGGCTTCCTGACTCAGATTACCCCTGGTCCTTACTTTCTGTTTGGTGTCCTGGCTTATTGATTCAGCACATCCCTGGACTTTGTTCTTAGATTGACTAGCTTCCTGACTTGGTTTGACCTCAGATTCCACTTACCCATTTCAGCTCTAATTGGTGGCTTGATCCCATGTCCCAGACTTGGCCACCCATGTCCCAGCATGACACACATCTGTTGCAGATATATTGTGATTAGCTTCTCATATCTATATGTTATTCCTTTTATAAGGATCCACTATTCATGATAATATGATTCATATGAACATTTATCCACTTTCATGTAGATAATCACAAGCATCACCAAGGGACAAATTTAAAAGAGCAGTGACTTTGTTAGCTGTAGGTCTTTGAAAATCGAGAATGATTTAAAAATATAGACCTTGTGAACACTAGGCAAGAGTAAGACCTCCTCTACACACATAAGTAAAGGCACAATGGGATCTAACGCATGATCCACATGTGCATGGCAGGGGGTGTGAGTGTGGGATCATGCATTAGATCCCATCTTGCCTTATTGTTGGTAAAGGAGGAGCCTGATCCTAGGCTCTCCCTGCAGTGGCAAGAAAATTTCAGCTGTTGCAATCTCCCAGCCACAGGGGTGTGTGAAACCCTTGAAGTTGGGAGATCACGGCTGCTGCAGCCTCCTAACCCTAGGCGTTTTATGCACTCCCTGAAGTTGGTGGGACCCCACTGGTCCTGGTACTAGGAAACATGCTGTGGATTCCCAGCATCAACAGCTTGGGACTCTGAGTACCATGACCCAGAGTTGGTAGCTGCTGGGGCTGAGTGTCCTCTTTGTTGCAGGACTCCCAGCCCCAGCTGGGCATGGTACACCTCTGGGCATGGGGCTCCCAGCTGCAGGGGAGGCTGTGCTACACATGAAAATTAAAACTCAATACCAACCAGCTATAAAGTTAGGACACATTTTCAAGGTCTAACTTTATAACTGTTTGGAGCATTCTATGGAATGATAGCTACTTTGCACATGTAGCTGGTCTCAAAATAATTGTGCAATTAACCAGTTAATTGCATGATACCTGTAATATGTAGAAGAGGCCTAACAGGCACAAATTATTTTCTTTTCTGGATTTAGCTTTCCTATCTATGAATTGCTCTCCTTTTTGAAGCACGTTAAGATCTAAAAAGAAAATCACTTGGCAATCATTAGTCATTAATGTACGCTGTATCCCAAATGTATAGAAACATACCATTTTTACAAAATGTATTAGTACCATGTTTTAAGTTGATAATCTTAACAACAATGTTGTTTTAAAAAGGGAGTGGAAATAAAGGAGGTGATTTGAGTGGAATAAGACTTTTTTTCATTTAATTTTTAGCACTGGCATCATTATCCCAGGGAAAGGGAACAAAAGAATGCAAGAAACCATTTTATGCAAGCTTTGTTAATACCCTGTTGAGCCTGTTTTTTGTTCCTAATGGTGATGGGTAGGACAGTATGTTTATCAGGAGCATTGGCATCTTCTCCTTTTAGGGTAGCAGATCATGATCCATAAAATTCACAGTGGCACAGCAGCAGAAACCAGTTCCAGGAATCTGAAGCAGCTCTCTGGTTAGGTTCAACATTGCCTTTCTCAAGAGTGTCACTGTAATAGAGCAAAGTTCTTGTAAAGAATTTCAGGAGACATTGACATAATCAGGTCAGCTAGAGGTGCATAAATGGGAAAGGAGGGGGAAACCCAAAGAGAAAGGTGTATCTATCTGTCATATAGCTGGAAGATATAATTTGAAGAGTTTTTATTCTCACCTGCTTGCGTGGCAATTTTCCCCCTTTTCTTTTGTGTTTTTGTCTGTGAAGCAACGTATTCTTCCCTGCAGCCTGACAGACACAAGGATATTTCAAACTGTCACAGGGTTCTTAGGCAAATTTCCCCTTTCTTGCAGTCATTATCATGGCAGGTAGACTCCTTAACGGGCGGCTTTAATGGCTAGGTACCCCCTACTGTGAAGATACCTGCCTATGAGAAGGAGAGGGTACTGCTCTCTCTGGTGTGACTTGGGAGTTGGGGGAAGGGACTGGAACTTGGAGGAATACAGCACTGCAGCAGCATCTAAAGAGCACGTGCCTCTCCTGATCAACGAAACTGCTTGCAAATCTCTATTTTCTCCTCTTCCGACCATACAAAGGTTTCCAAGTAGATAAGTGAAAATATTTCATGCCCTAAATAGATGCTCTAAAAATGTAATAGTCAGTTTATTTGTTCCCAGAGAAGATAAATGCAGAATGGATTTTTTTTTACAGATATCACAGAAGACTGATACTGAGTTTTCAGCTGAACACTTCATTCTACTTGGATTGCTTGGGAAAGTTCATACGAAATTGCCATATTAGACCAAGTAATCCCTCTGTGAACTTAATTGAAGAGGTAACAATATTATAGCTTGTAATATTGGCCCTGGGACAATGCCTTAAGCAACTATTAGCTGCTTAGAGTGTATATATATGCTTGCATACATGTTCAGTGTAATATTCAGCTGTGTTCACTTTTAGATGATTATTTGTTTGGTGAAGAAGAACGATGTGCTCTGTCATAAACACTGTTCATAAGCAACACTCCCTTACATGGGCAAGTTCCCTTTCGGTGCTGAGGACCAGCACGAGCAATTAAGTACCAACTGAGTCCTCTAGGAAAAAGAGGACCTCACAGGTGAGAAAGGGGAAAGACCACATTCGTTTTATTAAGGGCTATATTTTGCATGTTGTGCAGAAATACCAACTTGTATTTGGTCAATATTCGAATGGGAGGCTGCTATAAAAAGTAGGTGGGGTGATTCTATTAGGTGGTGGTCTTCCCCTTGAACTCTATCTATGATGTTAAAGAGCACTAGGAAGCTGCTTTTAAAAATCAGACATAGAGCTGATGATCGATGATGACCCACATATATATGTCCCATGACAGTATATTGGCCCACATTCTAATGTGCACAAGTACTGTACATTTTGCCTAGTTATGCTTTCCTGGTAGTTGCAGATGAATATAGTTTTCTTCATTTTGTCCTTCCGAGTTGTTATCTAGTGTTACTTCTGGTGTTAACAGCTACTTTTTCCCACCTAGGCATGCTTACATTTCAGAGTTTTCAAAGGGGTGCCTGTTGTATAGTTTTTCTGATATAATTGTAAAGCACTCTGTAAGTTCAGGTGGATAAAAAAAAAAACAACTGTGCAGTTGTTAGATTTATATGATGTTTACTAAAGTTATGTCAAAATACCTACTTCAGCATGTAATTTTCCATTGCTATTTTTCCATGGCAAGAAAAGAATCCTTATGTTCTCAGCGTTGCTGAAAAAAATCAGCGCTAGGAATAAGATAATTGTTATGCTATTCGGTAATTTACTCTATCACTTTTATTTACATTCTTTCTGCAATACAGGTCACCTTGCCCTTACATTTCTGCTTTTCAAACAGTGGGCCAAATGCATCCTTTATGTGACTGAACTGACTCTAGTGCAGTTACACCAGGAATCACTTTGGCTTCACAAGTCAATGGAATGACTTCATCTTGATTAAGAATAAGCAAAAGCACCCTGGGTGCAGTCCTCTTCCTGTTCCAGTCTGTGGGTGTTTAACCAGACAGGAACAGACTTTATTTTCTTTAATTTTATTTATTTATTTTTGCTTCTAATCTGTCATACAAAAGTAGTCATAATATTTCAAAGGATTTTGGGGAGGAAAAAGAACCCTAAATTAACATGGCAAATACATCTCATATCTCTACAGACCATACTTTCCATTGTGCTTCCACACAAGATTCCATGTTTAATTTATTGACTCTCATCTAGGATGTGATACCCTAGCGTCACATAGATGATTAAATAAAAACCATACATTGGCTGCAGAACACATCTCTACCACAGTTCATACTTCCTATTTCTTCTGCTAATTTCTTTGGTTTTTAAATTCATGACACATTCTGCCAGCAGAAGAATGGTGAGCCTTAGGAATCTTTACTCTGAGGCCAAGTTATCAGGGCATATTCATCTCCATAATCAATGAGTGTCCTCCTCATTTCTGTAGCTAGTCAGAACCTGGCAAACTGAATGTTAACTTGTGGCCGCCGGGTAGCACAGGAAAAGTAGAAAGCAGTTCCTGGATTCTTTTCTTAAATCTTTTTTTTTATTCTTCTTCTTTAGACAAATAGAATGGCAATTTAGTACCCTGCTCTCTGGAGAAAAACTTTATCCTGGCTTATGATCTAGGAGCTTTCTCCTGTTAACCCAGGAGCAATAGCACAGTGGGTTGAAAATTCCTGGGACTGGTTCATTTAAATTAAAGCTGAATTGCACAGCTGTAACAGTATGAAGGCCCCTTAGAGCAAACTGCTTGAATCAAATATATAGGGAGTAGTTCGGGATAAGACGTTTGACAGGAATGGAAAGAATGAGAAATAAGTCTGGAAGCTAGTGTGTGTTGTGGGGACACTGGAACTGGTTGGGCAAGGAATCTGGCATGGGAAACTACTTAGGTGAGAGGGAATGGGAGCTAGCGAAGTCAGCAGGTAGAGGGAAGGGACGTGCTGAGGTTTACTGGTTAAGGAGATTGGTATGAGGAACTGAGAATGGAGGAAGCCACCACCCAGGAGCCTTTGGAGGAGACTGATAATGGAGTCAGAGAAAGGGCCAATATTGTGGGCAGATGGGATGTGCAGAGATGGCTGCTTAGAGTAGGCTGGTGTGATGAGAAGCTCAGCAAAGGGTGGGAGGAGATGCAAGAAAGAATGGGTTGGAGGGGATAAAGTTTGGGGAACAGGAGCAAACTGTCTGTGTCCAGAAGAGTAATTAGGCTTATTGAGCGTCACCATTATTTTATCATCATTTGTAAAAATCCTCCAGACACAAAGAAGTGCTACTCCATTTACAAGTAACATCAGTTACTCTGTTAGCACAGGTGACAGGAGTCCGTGAGTAGGAGTCCGTGAGTTGCAGTGTTTATGTATTAGTGATGGTCCAGGAACTAAACAACTCCCCTTTGGTCCCTACAACTTCTCAGGAGATTACCAAGCCCAGCCCCTTGCTGAAGGCAGGATTATCCCTGTCTAAACTATCTCTTTCAAGTGTTTGTTTAACCTGCTATTAAAACTTCCGTGATGGTGACTCCATAATATCTCTAGATAATCTGTTTCAATGCCGCCCACAGAGTTAGAAAGCTCTTCCTCAGGTACAACCTAAATTTCCCTTGCTGCAATTTCAGACTGTTCTTCTTGTCCTGTCCCATTGTGTCCACAAAGAAGGGCTTCTCACCAAACTCTTTTTAACTGCCCTTTTTATATTTAAGACTGTTTTTAAACAGTCTTCTGAAGAGCATACATGTTCAGTATGCTTGCATACTGAACATGTATGCAAGCATATATATACACTCTAAGCAGCTAATAGTTGCTTAAGGCATTGTCCCAGGGCCAATATTACAAGCTATAATATTGTTACCTCTTCTTTTAAATGTCTTCTGTTTTTCAGACTAAATAATGTCAGTTCTTTAGACCTTCAATACACTATTCCAGCGCTGAATAGAGTGGAAGAATCACTTCCCTTCACTTGCAAGTGATGTTCCTATTAATACAACCCAGCATGCTGTTGGCCTTTTTGCAACAACAGCACACTGAGTTATATTCAATTTATGGTTTTCTGTAACCTCCAGGTCCTTTTCTGCTGTAGTGCAGCCTAGCCAGTCATTCCCCAGTCTGTATTTGTGCATTTGTTCCATTGTAAGTGCAGGACTTCCAAGAGAAATGTCATTAACAGCTCCTTGCCATAGGATTGGAAAGTCAGGTGGTCAGAAGGAATAGCCTGTTGTTGGGAGACAAAAGGATGATACATTTTTGTTACCTGATTTTTCTCCTTTCCAGATTTATCTTATACAGCTTCCCAGTTTCCTGGAGCACAGTGGAGATGGTGAGTCAACCACACTTTGCAGAAAAGGTTTTTCTGGGAATAATGAGCCACTTCTACTGTGTAGCAATATGGCAAGAAAATATGGTGGGGTTTTTTTTCTTTCTTACTAGCATCTGAGCTTCAACTGTTTTACCACATGCCAGGATATGATCACCACACACCTTCTGAGGAACATAACTAAAGAAACCTGGCTGACTGGTGCTATGAAGATTAATTCTTTGGGAATTACAACAAAATGGCTATGCCGTTTGTTCATGCAACAGACCCTTCTGGTCATTAAGCCCCAGGAAATGTCCTTTATCTCTATCATTAGAGTTTAATTACTTTCAGCACCTTAATCTACTTTGCAGTTTGATCTTGTGTTGCTTCTAGTTGGTGTATTGTAACCTTTACCATATATAAAATGTAATAAATCTTGTACTTCTGGATAAATCTTGGAGTCTAGGCCCTTTTTCTATCGCTGCATATAAAAATACATTCTTCCCCCACAAAATTCACGATTGGAACATCTAAGCTGATTTCATGTTCCCCTTCCCCCTATCATGTCATCTTTTTTCAAATGACTACACAATGTTTATAATTTAAAGGTGGATAATAAAGGAGCCTATATTACAACCAATTGTTTTTTAGTTCTGAGACAGAATATTGAAAATCATATATTTTTGAAGCATAAGTCAGTGGTGCTGTTAACTTTATCCTGGAGGTGCACATTAAAAAAATCACATGTAACTGTAAATAAATACCTTCATGGGGAGACTACAGTTGACAGTAAAAAGGCAATTTAAACCAGACCAAAAACATCAAAATACAATGACTAGGAACTAAACCTAGACAAATTCAAACTGCAAATGAGGTGTAAATGGTTGGAAGTAACTATTAGAAAAATGTACAATGGGATATGTTGGCTGCTTGATCATCTGAAATATTTTAAAATCAAGATAATATGTTTTTAGAAGATCAGAGTTTAGTTCAGCCAGAAGGCATCTCATTTTATGTAGGAGCTGCTAAATGAGACGTTGTCATTTGAGTAATTCAGGAGGTCTGACCTACAATAATGTGTTTTTTTTTCCCATC